AGCAAATACATATTTATAACATGTATCTTCAAAGCAACCGACTGAGGGAAATAAGTCAACTTAAAGTTAATCTGTTTTGTTGTTTGTTGTTTCTTATCCCACTTGGCTAGCCAAGCCCATATGGACTCATGATTGAAGGGGAAGGAAGCAGCTTCTGTTGTGATGGAGCACCCGTAGGTAGAAGCCTGTCTTTTGTTCCGTGACGCTCTTACAGTCATAGAAGACCGGGACCTACGGCTTAAAGTGGATTCCGAATCACTACAAACATCCATGGCACCGCCGGGATTCGAACCCGAAACCTGTGTTACCGAGCGCCAGAGCGCTAGACACTCGGCCATTCAGGTCCCAAATTTGCCAACGGCACGCAGTGTTGTTCCTAGGTGGTCACCCACCCAAGTACTGACCGCGCCCAATGATGCTTAACTTCGGTGATCTAACGAGTAAACTTAATCTTACTTTGTTATGTTAAATTTAAATTAAAAAGAGCGTTTTTTCAGCTATAAAAATGCTTTTCATTTAAATTAAAATTCCATATTCTTATCAGAGTCAGTATCTTGTTTATTATATACTGAATCTGATTCAGAAATGATTCTAAACGTTGAAATAAAACAACGATTTTCAAATCAAGAAATATAAAAAGAGTAATTAATTACTTAATAAAGTAAGTAAAAAATTAAGTCGTTAAGTAATTCGTAATTATAATGTATAAATATAAATAATACACATATATTTTTTTTTTTTTTTTTTTTTTACTAATTTCAAATTTAATAACATTGCTATAAGTAATAAAAATAAGCACATATATTGAGGTCTCATGTATGCATACATGAAATAATCATAGTATAAAAAAACTTGGCTATCTTTTTGTCTTGCTTGCTATTTAATTTTATTTTATTTATGGGTTCCAATATTCTTAACCTATAATTTTTATTTCATGATAATAATATTAACGTTACATTTTCCATTATGAGAAAAAAAAACCTCCATATTTTCTGATGTAAGGCGACTTCATTTCGCGTTCAATTTACAAGAAACTAGGAAATGGGCTCTAAACCATACGTTTCCAGAACGAAAATCATCATTAATCACAATGAAGGAACGTTATAACAGAAACCAACCCTAACCTAATACCACTCAACATTGCAAGTCAACCCAACGCTTCCAGTGGCAAGTTGATACGTTGCCCTGACGGACAGAGATTAAAAAGTGCCTCAAAGCAGAGGACAAGAACCATAGCTTTTACACCCAGTTCTCATTTAGATAACACGACCACCGCTTGTTTTGGCAGTTAGAGTAGAAAGAAAATGGGGAAGAACATTCCTTTGTTTATTTTCTCCTCATCAATCATAATTGGTCTCTGGGGATCCATTTATAAATGCTTTTCTCTCTAGAGTTTTCGCCCACTCCTCAATTCGGCGGTATGTAGTTGCATGTCATATGATTAACATGGTTCTTTCCTTTACGTCCATGCTGTTGTTTGGCATTCTTTTTGGAAGTTTCAATACAACACTGGTTTTCAGGAGGAGACGAAATTGTTTAGTTGGTGGCTTCTTCCGTGCGATGTTTGTTCCCCTTTCGCTGGTGGTTAGAATAATTTATCTGCTAATGCTGGAACAAAGAGCATTAAAAGAAAATCAAATCAAAAGAATCATGCTCATCAAAAGAAAGCATTTAATATCATCAGAATTACAATAAATCAACATTGCTTGAATTTTCTCTCAAATATAAAGATAATTAAATATCTGAAATTAATTGGATTAGAAATATTTGAACAGTAACAAACAGAACAAATAAAAACAAAATGAAAGTCCCCAGCAGAAAAATGAAAACATAAACATTTGCCCTATTTACAAAAATCGATGGCAAGAACCAATTTAAGCATCCCGATGTAAAATTCCGTGTAGCATATTCCTCCAGAGTATTAGACGGGACAAATTTACAGCCTCATTCTTAGAAGACATATTGGTAGACATTTTATAACTCAGCTTGCACAAGTGGTGCATTGTTTTTGCTCAAACGAAATCTTGAAAGGAAGCTTTTAACATTTTGACACGCGCATAACTCTCTCTTTGTTCCAGCATTAGCAGATAAATTATTCCAACCACTAGCAAAAGGGAAACAACGTTCTGAAGAATCTATCAACCAAACAATTTCGTCTCTTGAAAACCAGTGCCGTACTCAAACTTCCAAAAAGAATGACAAACAACAGCATGGACATAAAGGAAAGAGCCACGTTAATCATATGACATGCAACTACAGACTGTCGAAGTGAAGAGTGGGTGAGAGAGAAAATGTAGAGAGAAAATCATTTCTAAATTCATCTCCAGAGACCAATTATGATTGATGAGATAAAAGTAAACAAAGGAATGTTCTTCCCCATTTTCTTTCTACTGTAACTGGCGAAACAAGCGGTGCGCGTGTTATCTAAATGAGAACTGGGTGTAAAAGTGATGGTTCTTTTCCTCCGCGTTGAGGCATTTTTTAATCTCTGTCCGTCCGGGCAGCGTATCAACTTGCCACTGGAAGCGTTGGGTTGACTCGCAAGGTTGAGTGGTATTAGGTTAGGGGTGGTCTCTGTTAAAACGTCCTTTCGTTGTGATTAATGATGATTTTCCTTCTGGAAACTTATGATTTAGAGCCTATTTCCTAGCTTCTTGTAAATAGAACGGGAAATGAAGTCACATTAAATCAGGAAATATGATTTTTTTTTCTCCTAATATAAAATGTAAGGATAATATCATTATCATGAAATCGAAATTATAGGTTATGAATATTGCGACGCATAAATAAAATAAAGTTAAATTAAATAAAACAGCCGAAAATTGTTTTTTATTTATCCGTTCATCATTTCAAATTTTCTACCTATCTTCATTTGCTTTGTTGTAACCTCCTATTATAATGTGGCAGAAATTGAGGCGATATTTTTTTATGCATAACCATTATGCAAAGAATAATCATAATTTAATTTTAAAAAATACCTCTTGTTAAAAAATACATATAATTTATTACAATTTAAAATTCGACTTGTTTTGAATTAAAAATAAATTCAAAACGACTTATGATAAGAGAAATAAAAAATAGTGGTTTTTCATAATTAAATAACAATTCTATCATGTATCTCATCATGTGGGATTTGGTCTTCCGTACCATAACCACCGTCTTTGTATTGTTTAAACCTTGTCTGCCAAGTTTTTTGAAATGGTTCATGGTCTTCGTAAGCTTCCATGAGAATTCGATGCACTTTACTTTCTATAAAAACAAAAAAAGAAAACTCCCCACATATGTTATATTTTCAGTAAGACATTCGACAGATTAAAGGTAAAAAAAAAACAATGTTTTACGCACTTCAATAATATGATACATAAGAAACAGCAAAGCATAATGACAGTTGTTTTACACGAATCATTTATCAGTATGAAAAATAATACCGCCACTTCTTAAAAAATGGACTACTATTAAACGTTATAATAATCTGTTAAATATTAAAGATTTTTATACCGTTTAATAATTTGTAAGTATTTTATATAAAAATTTAATCCACAAAGAGAAATTGTTTTAAAAAATGTATGCGGAAACATATTTTAATATAAAATTTATTATTACATAGTTTAATATTTAATTTCTCTTTTCAGAAAATTACGAACATTAATAATGATAAAATAATGTTTTTTTTAAAAAGTTTTTGATACATTAAAAAAATTCCTTTTTTTAAGCATTTTGTTTTCATGAGTGCAGAAGGAAATTTATCAATAGTAGAAAAAAAAATAGGAAAATTAGGTACAGATTAAAGTGACATTAACTTACAAAAGGAGTTTGCTTTTTTTATATTATATTAGCAATATGTCGAGCATTATTTTTTAAAATATAGAAGAGTTTTTGTAAGAAAATTAATATCATTATCATAAATGCTTGCAAATTTACACACCCCACACACAGAAAAAAACCCCACCTTTTTTGTACGAACTCTTATTGAGATATGTCTTTTACTCCAAACATGCTTGAAAAATGTACCAATTTTTTTTTCAGTATGTTTATATATTGCTTCCTGTTTAGAAAATAATGGACTACAAGTACTATGAAGCAGCTGTGAGTAACGTGAATCATTTACATAAACCGAGAAAAAAATATTTTAAACGTATAAACACAACAGATGTCTATATGACAAACCACTACGTGGGCGGACTCTTCCTATACACACGCAAATATTTTCTAGACCAACCTGAGTTGAAATGAGGTTTCTTTCAGAGATAGATATGAGTTTTTGTCACGAAATGGATGTGAGCAGCATGTAAAAATGCCAACATTTTGAAATAGCACTGTATATCTTAACATAACTGCCAACTTCATAACTCTTTCTAGTTTAATGCTGTCAAACAATAAAATGTTCACCAATATCACACTTGTACTAAGACTTTTCTTTATAATTGCATTTTATTTTTCTGTGCTGTTCCTTTTCAGTAGAAATGCATTAATTTGTTTTTGTTGGAATTGGTTAATCGTGATCTTCAAGACAGAGAGGTCGTAAGGATTTGTACTGTTCAGTTAAGAAAAAAAAAAAAAATAAACAAAAGTATTAAATTTCAAAAATAAACAAATGCATTTTGAAACTTGATTTTTATATTAAAAAGTTTTACATATATATGTATGTATAACCATATGTATCTTGATCACTTTTGATTTTTTGCACCATTTTTAGTAAAAATACATTAATTTTGTTTGTGTACACAACACGTAGTAAATAGTAGTCTTCAAGACAGAGAGGTCGTAAGGATTTGTACTGGTCATTTAAGAAAAAAAAGATAAATTTGTTTTTTAAAGTAAGCCAGAAAAAGAATTTCAAATGGCTCCAATACACATGTATTATTGATCATTTTGATTTTAAATTAAAAAATTGTCTACGTGGAATTGTTCACCAAGGAATTCAGCCAATCAAGATTTTTTTCATGGTACATAAATTATTATTGCAAGTTTAAAAATGAACGTAATTTCATAATGTCCCGAAGAATTTCTACTGTATATGGAGCTTTGCAATGGGAATGTGAACCACATCAAATCTCATAAGAATATGTATGATGGCAACTACTGTAAATCGCGATCATACAGATGATACATATGCTCAACTGATAATTGAACTTGCATTATATCTTCTAGTATGTTTCTGCTATTTGATACTGCTGTTTGATTAATCTTCTGAATTCATAAAGGGACATCACAGTTGTTAGTACAAATGTGGCGAAACTGTAATAATAATAATAGTATTTGATTAATCTATGCTAATCGTGTCTTTGGTAATAAAATTGATGATGAATATATCTTCTTAAATGTTGTAAATAGTGCATCAAAGTATTGTATTTTCATAAAATTATTTTACAGTTTTAACTACATGGTAACCAGAAAGATACTTAATAACAAATGGTTTGCTTGAAACGGAGAGTAAGAGA